GTTCAACTTTTTTTTAGATTCCACATATAAGTAAGATCATGTGGTATTTGTCTTTCTGTGCCTGACTTATTTCACTGAATATAATGTCCTCTAAGTTCATCCATGTTGTCAAAAATGACAGAATCTCTTTCTTTTTAAGGCTGAATAGTATTACGCTGTATATATATACCACATTTTCTTTATCCATTAACACACTGATGGACACTTAGGTTGATTCCATATCTTGGTTATTGTGAATAATGCAGCAATGAACATTATTGTGGTTCACTGGTGCAGGTATCTCTTCAAGATCCTGATTCAATTCTTTCAGATATATAGATCCAGCAGTGAGATTGTTAGATCATGTAACAGTTTTAGTTTCTTGAGGAACTTCCATACTGTCTTCCACAGTGGTGGCACCATTTTAAATCCCCACCAAATGTGTACAAGCGTTCCAATTTCTCTATATGCTTGCCAATATTTACCTTTTCTTTCTTTTGATAACAGCCATCCTAACATGTGAGGTGATATCTCACTGTGGCTTTGATCTGTATTTCCCTGATGATTAGTGATTTTGAGCACCTCTTTTTTTTTTTTTTTTTTGAGATGGAGTCTCGTTCTTGTTGTTGCCCAGGCTGCGGTGCAATGGCGCAATCTTGGCTCACTGCAATCTCCACCTCCTGGGTTCAGGCAGTTCTCCTGCCTCAGCCTCCTGAGTAGCTGGGATTATAGGCATGTGTCACCACGCCCAGCTAATTTTTTGTATTTTTTTTAGTAGAGACGGGGTTTCACTTTGTTGACCAGGCTGGTCTTGAACTCCTGACCTCAGGTGATCTGCCAGCCTCGGCCTCCCAAAGTGCTGGGATTACAGGCGTGAGCCACCACACATGGCCTTGAGCACCGTTTCCAAAAAACCAATATACTTGTTGGTTATTTGTATGTCTTCTTTAGAAAAATGTCTATTCAAGTCCTTTGCCCATTTTTTAAATGGGTTATTTAGGGGTTTTTTGGATACTGATGTGTAAGAGTTCCTTATATATTTTAGACATTAACCCCTTATCAGATATATGGTTTGCAAATATTTTCTTCCCTGGAATTGTTTTCTTAATTTCATTAGTGAATTATTCATTTATTTATTTATTGAGAGGATCTCACTCTGTCACCCAGGCTGAAGTACAGCAGTGGAAATGCAGTTCACTGCGGCCTCGACCTGCTGGGCTCAAGTAAATCTCCCACCTTAGCCTCCCAAGTAGCTGGGACCACAGGTGTGCACCACCACCCCCAGCTAATTTTTCATATTTTTGGTAGAGACAGGGTCTTGCCATATTGCCCAGGCTGCTCTCAAACTTCTGGGCTCAAGCAATCCTCCTGCCTCTGCCTCCCAAAGTGTTGGGATTACAAGCATGAGCCATCATGCCAGGCTAGGGCTGAATAAATTAATGAGAGAATAAAAACAGTGTTTTCATGTTTCTTATATGGATGAACTTTAAGTTTTTTAAGTTTTCTGTCATCCTTGTTTTATTTATTTGTTTGTTTGTTTGTTTGAGACAGGGTCTCACTCTGTTGTCCAGGCTGGAGCACTCTGGTGCCATCACAGCTCACACAGCCTTAACTTCCTAGGCTCCAGTGATCCTCCCACCTCAGCCTCCGGAGTAGCTGGCATTATAGACATGCGCCACCATGCCCAGCTAATTTTTTATTTTTTGTAGAGATGAGATCTTGCTATGTTGCCCAGGCTGGTCTCCAACTCCTGGACTCAAGAGATTCTCCCACCTCAGCCTCGCGAAGTGTTGGAATCACAGGTGTGAGCCACCACACCCAGCCTGTATATTTATTTTCAAATATAATCATTTTGATAGCAGGGATATCTTCTTATTCATCTTTGCATTTATGGCAAATAGTAGACAACTTAATAAATGTGTTGAAGAAATGGAATATAGCAAAACTTTGAATTAGCCATTTCTATTAAAAGGGAAAGGAGACCAGTCTGGGTAATGTAGTGAGACCCCCATCTCTACAAAAACATTAAAAAATTAGCTGAGCGTGGTGGTACACACCTGTATTCCCAGCTACTCAGGAGGTTTAAGGTTGTAGTGAGCTATGATCGCACCATTGCACTCCATCTGGAGTGACATGGAGAGACCCTGTGACCACCCCCCAGAAAAAAGGGAAAGAAGAGAGCTTTACTTTTTTCTTTTCTTTTCTTTTGAGACAGTCTCATTCTGTCACCCAGGCTGGAGTATAGTGGTGCAATCTCGGCTCACTGCAGCCTCTGCCTCCCAGGTTCAAGCAATTCTCCTGCCTCAACCTTCTGAGTAGCTGGGATTACAAGCATCCACCACTATGCCTGGCTAATTTTGTATTTTTAGTAGAGACAGGGTTTTACCACACTGGCCAGGCTGGTCTCGAACCCCTAACTTCAAGTGATCCATCTGCCTTAGCCTCCCAAAATGCTGTGATTACAGGTGTGAGCCACTGCGTCCAGCCAGCATTACTTTTTTCAAGGGTTAAGAACATGTCTTTGAATATCTTGATAACTTGCTTGAGTGAATTGTCGTATAAAGTTTTGCACATAGTTGTTGATCGACTGCTAAGTAAGAGGACGCTCATACCGCAAACTCTCAGTACTTGCTCCAAAGAACTTCACAACAAAAGATCTGCAATGTGCTAAGTAATTAATGATTTTATATTTATCCTACAACTTGCTGCTTCTCAAATGTCTAACTAGATCTCTAAACTCATGCCTAGAGGATTAATTTAATGAGTAAAATCAAAGGCAACTGAAAATAACAGTTGGCTGGGCACAGTGGCTCACGCCTGTAATCCCAACAGTTTGGAAGGCAGGCAGGAGTATCGCTTGAGCCCAACAGTTCCAGACTGGCCTGGGCAACATGGCAAAACTCTGTTTCTACAAAAAACTTGAAAAACTAGCCGGGTGTGGTGGTGCATGCCTGTGGTTCCAGCTACTCCAAAGGCTGAGGTGGGAAGATTACTTGAGTCTGCAAGGCCAAGGCTGCGGTGAGTTGTGATTGTGCCACTGCACTCTGGTCTGGGCAACAGAGTGAGATTCTATCTCCAAAAAAAAAAAAAAAAGCGAAAAGAAAGAAAATTACAGTTTAGGAATATAATCCAATGAGTAAGAAGAGCTTTCAAATATACCTTCTATTTAAGATAAAATGAATTTTTATCCTGTTTTATTTAAAAGCTAGAGAGAAGTCAGGCGTGATGGCTCATGTCTATAATCCCAACATTTTGGGAGGTAGAGGCAGCAGTATTGCTTGAGCCCAGGAGTTCAAGACCAGCCTGGGCAACATAGTGAGATTTCATGTTTATAGAAAATACAAAAATTAGCTGGGGCTGGTGATATGCGCCTGTGGTTCCAGCTACTCGAAGGCTGAAGTGGGAGGATACTTGAGCCCAGGAGGTTGAGGCTGCCATGAGTTGTGACCATGCTACTGCACTCCAGCCTGGGTGACAGAGTGAGACTCCATCTCAAATAGATAAATAAATAACAAAAGCTAACAAGCAAAAGTCTAATTCACTTGTAAGACTAATATAAAGTGCTACCACATTAAAAAGACCTCTCGCTGGGCACGGTAGCTCACTCCTGTAATCCCAGTGTTTTGGGAGGCTGAGGCAGGAGGACTGCTTTGAGAAAAAATATACAATTTTAAAACTAGTTTTTGTTTCCTTGTTTAAGAATCAGGGACTTTTCAGACTGTACAGAAAGGAGGGAAGCAGGTCTTCCCTTGGGAGGATGACTGAAAGGCCAGTGGAGGAAAGTTGTCAGCCCATTGTCAGGTCAGCATCAGGCCTTTACCAAGCCTGTTGGCACTAAAAAGTAACAGATCAAGTACTCAAAATGTGAAATATATTTATTTTGAATTTAGAAATTCAAACAACAGTGATACTATTGTATCACATCAGTTATTCAAAAAAATGTGAAATCTCCCAAAAAAAAAAAAAATTAAGAACTTTTAAATCTCCAAGACAGTTTTCAGTTTTATTTGAATTAATCTCCAGTGGAAAATACTGAGGAACAGATCTAAATGACTTAGGGAAAAATAAGTCATAACAGGAAAAATAACATACTAAAACAAATTCAAAATTTTGCTCAATGCTTTGCATTTTTTCCTTATAACAAATATCACCAAATTTTATTTCTGCTCTAAAAATATTAAAAACAAACCAAAAACCTCAGTGTTCTTCCTCATATGTCCACTTCTCAAAGGCTTACAACTTCTCTAACAGTAAGGAAACAAAAAAAGGGACTAATTATTAATTTCTCAATTGCAGGAGACTTTGTTAGGCAAACAGCAAATTGTTAGAGAAGACGGTAAATCAAATGTAGTTTCCAAGAGAGATTATTTTTCTCATGTGTCACAAACTCTACTGAACCTTTCAGGATAACTAGAAAGAACTGTAACACAGAAGAATATGTCTAATGCAAGAGAAAAGATAGAAAAAAGAAATTAAGCTGGGTGTGGTGGCTTACACCTGCAATCCCAGCACTTTGAGAGGCCAAGGCAGGCAGATTACTTGAGCACAGGCATTTGAGAGTATCCTGGGCAACACGGTGAGACCCCATCTCTCCAAAAGATAAAAGAAAATTAGTTGGGCATGGTGGCATACACCTATAGTCTCAGCTACCTGGGAGGCTACAGTGGGAGGATCACCGGAGCCCTGGAGTTTGAGGCTGCAGTGAGCCAAGACTGTGCCACTGCACTTCAGCCTGGGTGACAGTGAGACACTGTCTTAAATTTTTTTTAATGTTAAAAATACATAAATAAAAAAAAAATTAAACACTTCTTAAAAGTCGCTAGAGGGCACAATTTAGTTGTTAAGGAAATGTCAAGTTTTCCATTTGTGGCTTCAAGTTTTTAAGTAACAACAACTTGAAAACCTAACAAAATATACTGGAAAAAAATTATTTTATCTTCCTTCCCAGCTATAACCGCAAAATAAAAGAAAAAGCAAACAATAAGGAGATGCAGTTGACAAGTTAGTCATCTGTAACTCACCTTCAGGAAACATAAAACGTATTTCTCTTTCCGCAGCAGCAAAGTCATTACTCCCATGAAGTGCATTCCTTAGGTCATCTGTGCCATAAATTGCCCTTAGACTAAAAACAAGTTAGAGATGATGTTCATCCAGTCTGACATCTATTCCTTACTTTATATGCATGCATTCCACTTAAGAATTTTACAAAAGCATTGCCACTTCTTACATATGAAAGCTTCACAATTTATGTCAAATTTAAGCTTAAATTTAAGCTTATCTATCTAGATAAGGATCAAATATATTCACGTCTGCAGGAGGAATACACTGGGAAAACAGGAGTTCTCTGGATAAAAACGTGGTGTTGTTTTGTAAGAAGTAAAAAAGCAATGCACATTCAAAAGTGCAAGAACTCAATATCTTCCTATTTCCATACATTAGCAATAATGCTGAAAATTTGAATTTCTGTTCCTGTATCACCATTATTATTTTAACATACCATCCCAATTTTTCCATCTAAAAATCCTACTCCAGTGGCAGTTTAAAGGTTGAGAGAATAAGGGTAATCAACTATAAATCAGACATTCTCTGATGCTTTTTCTGGCATGTAGTATTAAGATAGGCATTTAACACCTTAAAATGTAAAATGGACCCCCAGGCCCCGCTCCCTCCCCAAAAAAAAAAGCTGATTTTGGAAAACTTCCAAATAATAAAACAAAAATTCCCATTACAATGAAATTAGTTTTGTTTTTTTTTTTTTCATTTTCACAGATGGATTCCATTCCCTGCCATCCCCCCAACCCTGAAAATTACCTGTCTGGATGTGTCTCCTTCGCTACTAAGCTATTATTTGGTCCCAAAAGTTCTAACCAATAAGAGATGGCTTTATGTCTAGCTAATATCATGGCGACAAGTGGTCCAGAACTCATGTAAGCTGTTAAATTGGGGAAAAACATTTTTCCATACTGTTCCACATAAAAGTTACTACATTGCTCAGGGCTGAGGTGTAGTTTTCTTCTCTATAAAAGACACAAAGTCAACAAAAGCATTTAAAATGACAGTTCAATGATAGCTCATTAAAATCATTACTAACTTGAAACTAGTACCAATCTGATTATAACTTCGAGGTTTATCTTTGTATTATGAAGAAAGAAAAGGATATAATTAAATGTATGTTGTAAATAAGATAGTAAGAGGAATTACTTCGCCTACTTAAGAAAAATTATGGCCAGGTGCAGAGGCTCATGCCTGTAGTCCTAGCACTTTGGGAGGCCGAGGCCAGCGGATTGTCTGAGCTCAGGAGTTCGAGACCAGCCTGGGCAACATGGTGAAATCCCGTATCTACTAAAATTCAAAAAATTGGCTGGGCGTGGTGGCATGTGCCTGTAGTCCCAGCTACTCAGAAGGCTGAGGCAGAATTGCCTGAACCCGGGAGGTGGAGGTTGCAGTGAGCCAAGACTGCACCACTACACTCCAGTCCGGGCGACAAAGAAAAATTATTCCAGTTAGGCAGCCTCCCTCAGCATATGGTTTGTTAGTAACAAATTTATCACATCTCCTTCTTAAAGTAAATAACTCTTCAATTAATAAAACTGGACTTAATATTTCAAATTCATGTTTCTCTATTTGTGTTACTATTTTGGGAGCTGGTCTCATTAAGTATGAGAAATTATGAGTTATTTCTCATACTTAGAAATAACAGCTAGGCATAGTGGCTCATGCCTGTAATCCCAGCATTTTGGGAGGCCAAGGCGGAAGGATTGCTTCAGCCCAGCCAGGAGTTAGAGAGCAGCCTAAGCAACACAGGGAGACATTGTTTCTATGAAAAATTTTAAAATTAGTCGGGTATGGTGGTGTGTGCCTGTAATCCCCACTACATTAGAGGTAGTGAGCCATGATAACACAATTGCACTCCAGCCTGGGCGATAAAGCAGACCCTGTATCAAATAAACTAACAAAAAAAGTAATATGTAGTATAATGATGCAGTAAAAAAGTTTTTCATTTGAACATGTGTGTTCTTTATTCTGGTTCTGTCATAAATATCTTGATTCACTGTAACATGAAGAAAAATTAGGCCAGGCGAGGTGGCTCAGGCTTGTAATCCCAACACTCTGGGAGGCCAAGACAGGCAGATCACTTGAGGTCAGGAGCTCAAGAACACTCTGACCAACATAGTGAAACCCCATCTCTAATAAAAATACAAAAATTAGGCCAGGCGCAGTAGCTCACGCCTGTAATCCCAGCACTTTGGGAAGCCGAGGTGAGTGGATCACCTGAGGTGAGGAGTTGGAGACTAGTTTGGCCAACACGGTGAAATGCCATCTCTACTGAAAATACAAAAAATTAACCAGGTGTGGTGGCACGCGCCTGTGATCCCAGCTACTCGGGAGGCTGAGGCAGGAGAACAGCTTGAACCTGGGAGGCGGAGGTTGTAGTGAGCCGAGATCATGTCATTGCACTCCAGCTTGGGCAACAAGAGTGAAACTCTGCCTCAAAAAAATAAAAAAATAAAAATCAGCCGGGCATGGTGGTACATGCCTGTAGTCCTAGCTACTCGGGAGGCTGAGGCAGGCCAACAGCTCGAACCCGGGAGGCAGAGGTTGCAGTGAGCCAAGATTGCACCTCTCTACTCCAGCCTGGGTGACACAGCGAGACTCCGCCTAAAAAAAAGAAAAAAGAAAAATCAGGCCGGTGTGGTGGCTCATTCCTGTAATCCCAGCACTTTGAGAAAGAAGAGACAGG